AAAAAAAAAAAGTAACATCAAAAATACGAATGAAACCAAGCACAAAATTACAATTTAACTTGTAGAATAGACTAACTAAGCAAGACAATTAAATAAAGGTAAAATGTAATCTCTGAGTCTTTCTGAACAGGAATTTTCTATGAAATAAGAATGGTTCTATCGCATAAGAGAAATAAACAGTAAGTTTATGCCACTAATTTGTGACCGACCACCAAACATTTTGTCTTCAGATTTTTAGTGATTATCAAACAGTGTTTGACATTTGAAAGTTTGATTAGCAATTTTTAATTTTTTGATAACAAAAAACAAGCTTAAAATTTATTTAAAAAATTGCACAGTTTTCGTTTGTAATAGTTTTCTCCTGACTCAACTTCTAAAAATGTATTTGGTTTATGACAGATTTTATTTCGTTACTTATTTTTTTAATAGCTAGTGAACTGAGGTTTTTTACCATTTGAGTATCCTTAAACTACGCGTTTTTTACTTCATATTTTACAGCTTTTTTTGTTGTTTTTGGTCATATCTTTAATTGTTCTTGAGCAGAATTTTGCTTCTACTTTCCCTCAAAAAATAGATAACTTTTTGGAAAAAAGCATGACCACATTTTTTGAGCAAATCACAAGACACCAAAACTTTAGAGATGACTGATAGTATCCAAACAACCGTTAATAAAGCTATATGGTCTGTACAACTAATAGTCAGACTGTCAATTAGACTCCCCTGTTGACTGGCCACGTCCTCTTTTCGTTTTCATTTATTCCAATTAATTCAGAAAATTAAACTAAGTTTGTTGATTTGAAAAACTTTATTTATGCTAACATTATCAGTGAATGACTAGATGACAGTTAATAACAATAAATTGTAGTATAGATTATCTATAAATTGTAGGATTAGAAGAAAAATCGCTAGTATTATAAAATGTAATTAATATAGTCTGTTTTTTCTTTTTTTCACAAAAAGGAAATCTTATATATAATTTTTATTCATATGCAAAAAAACTTAAAGATAGCATAACACATACCATTTGATTGATCGCGCCTAGGAAGTAAACACTTTTAAACAGTTTATTCCAATTTTCAGCTTTTATTCATGAACAACAACAAAATCTTCTTTATACAGACAGCTCTGCTACTTTTTTGAGGTGAAACATAATTCTAATCAATTTGATTTGTTATAAGCAACAATATAACATACATATAACTGTAAAACGCTTCATACTTTTTTTTTTGCTATTCAACAAACAACGTTAGAGCCTAAAAATGAGGTACTTCAAGGTTCTTCTTTCTTAAGAACTAAAGATCCTGATAAACGTTTTAGCAGAAAAAAGAAGAACAATGAACAGCAACTCATTCTCAACTCACCTACTTTCAACAAGTATCAGTTTATCAAAAAAAAAAAAAAAAAATTTAGAATTATTTTTGGCGAAAAAGTCCTGGAGACTTCTGATTATCTCATCCTAAACAAGTGTTTAATAGGTATCTTTATCTGTACAAAAAGTATATTCAGTTATCCTTATTCTGAGTATTTCCATCGTATCTTTGATAGCGTTCATTACTCCATTAAATTTTTAACAGATTATAGCAAACAAAAAAAAAACAGCCAGGAAACACAAATGAATGAATCAAGAAGTATTGTGCTCGATAGCATAATCTTTTTTCTTCAAAAAAATTAGCATAACGTTTTAGTGAGCTGAAGCAATTGTTAACCATTTTCTCTTTTTTTGCAGAGTCTTAATCAACACTTACAACAAAGTGTTAATTGTCTAGAAGTTGCAGATTTAAAGTACAAACTGTCAAAGAGCTAGTACAAAAACATCCAAAAGAGTTCAACTCAATAACAAAAAGAAATATTTGTTTCAAAAAAATTATAGGTTAATAAATATACTCTCAGAGAAAAAACTGTCTGTTAAAAATACACTGATTCTTATAGCAAGCCATATAAATCAATTTTTATCGAACTTTCATTGAGCGCCAATGATTTGTGAATAAGCAGAAAATTTCTTTCCGCTTGTACAGCACCTCTTTTAACTGGCTATCTACTTCCACAAGATATCGTTTATAACTTCATAAACTGTTGCAGTGAAGAGCAGAATTTGAATATTATCGATAAAGATCAGTGGTATTCAGAACTGTATTTTTTTGAAAAAAATTTAAAAATTCTCATTAAAAATCCCTTTTAACTGGCAGAAAATTACTGCGCTAATAAACTGGAATAACTGGAAGTGGTGAAGTGAACGCCTTACAATTATATAGTCAGATATCAGTTTGTTGTGATATCTGAAAAGTTTCCTTTCACGTGTCACTTTTCGAATTCCAAGGTAAACCATAACGACATTATTTCGTCGCTTACTTAAGCAGTACCTTTTTTAAATAATTGTTCCAACTTTTTTCTTTGTGAAATTTTACTCAGGGGAGTTCAGATAAAACGAACCATGTAGTGAGTAGTAAAAATGACAAAGTAGCTTCAAGTGCAAATCTTGTGCGATTCTGTTCATATAACTCGAAGTAGAGGAAAGACATAATAGAAACTTACAGATAGATTAGAATGGAAAAAGGAATAATTGATTATAGGCCAAAATGTTCAATGAAGTCATTTCTTGATTCATTCATATATTTTCCCATAAAGATACTATTTAGTGCTTTCCAAGCTGATGACAGTATTACATTAAAAGAAAATTTTCAGTCAAAAATTATTAGTCAGCAAGCATTGTCTGCTTATAAAGAGAGCGAATCAAAATCAAATTTTGGATGTAGCATTCGGTGTAATCTGAATAATTTCTCCATCTTGACCACTTACGTTTTTTTCTCACCAGATGTCTTCTCTTGCTTATTAACAGCACTTTCACCAAACAGTGAACGCAAATCGGCAACCTTTAAATTTATGTTACTTCTTACCAATGCCAAAACTTGGAAATAAAAAACTGACTAATTAAGTTTCTATAATTTCACAAACTGTATTCATCTCATCCATGTCGTATAAACCAAATGAGGCCTAATGAACTAAGTTTAGTTGGTTTTATAGTTCTCATTTACTCAATAAGGCTAATTAATTTAGGAAATATAACTCACAGTATGATGAACGTTTTGGTTACGAGACGATTCCCCTCTATGTTCAGCCTGAGCCCAAGGAGTTGACGAAGTCTCGAAAGCGTACTGTCCGTATTGTTTCAGATCAATATTTTCAATAGATACGTGTTTCTGATGTACCGGGAATGGAAAACGACCTAACTCTCCACTAAATTTCTTTAAATTTTGGAATCTTTCATAAACACTAGCAAAAAGAAACAGTAGCAAAGAAAAACGCTTCGATTTACTGACCTGCTGTATGTTCTTCTTTGAAAACCAGTTGCGCTTTCGCTTGGACTAGTGGCCCTCAGAAACGGGCTTATGTGGTGACCCTCTGACGAAATCTTCTAAACCTTCGTAAAAATTTTACATATACTGTAAATGCTCTTTCTTTGAAACAATTTTTAAAAAATTTGTCAACAACCGTATAAATTTTTTACTGACTTGCGGAAGTGTTTCTTCAAATATAGCTGAGCTCATGATGTGTTCCACTCTGGCCAAAACACCTGTTTGAATTCCAAAATCTTTCATGTAAAGACGTCGAGCTGCCTGGTATTCTGTATCATCAAACTGAAAACATGATACCTTAGCTATTTCTTTAAACCGCTTCAAGTTTCTTCTAGTCAGTTGCAAATTTTTTTCAGTTACTCACCTGAATTCCTTTATTGACAACTGGAATAAGCTTAGTCTGTACTTCTTTTTCTTCACAAAAATTATCATTCTGAATTACCGCATCTTGCGCATTTGGTTGCGTTTGACTCGCAGATTTAGTGGTCTTGATATTTATCTTTAAAAAACCGTCTTAGCCAGTGAATTTGACAGTTTATTTTTATGAGCAAAACGTATATTCACTTCACTTAAAAATCAAACCTGCGTAGTGGTATCAACCACACGAAATAGATCTTTTGAAACAGTTTGTTTTTTGATAGCCAATTCCAGCGGTGTAGAAACAGTATGCGAATAAGTCTGAAAATGACAAAACAATAAATTTTTTGGTGCGTTGTAAATATATATTAATAATGCGATTAAATTTTGAAAAGAAACTTTTTTACATTTTCATAGTAAATAAAATTTTTATAAGTTTCTGTTTTTGACTTTTATTGAATTAAAATATTTTTACAATAATTTTAATCACAACTTCATGTTTAAAGCATTTACCTCATAATCAAGAACTTTTTCAGGAAAACTTTGTGCAAAAGTTGGTCGAATATTTTGAACCTCAAAAGGGACAGTTGCCACTTGCTTCTCAGCAGTGAGTGCCTCAGACTGCACTCCCTGAAAAGCCTGACCTTTTTAATCGTATATTTCAAGATAAACTACAGCAATCTGAGTGCTTTTCTTTTCTCAGTGTTCTGTTCATTTTGCTGGGAAATGGTAAGCAAAAATTTAATTATTCTATTTCTTTAGCCACCTTTAATTCATTTTTAATTGAAACGTTTTTCTGAAAAACCAAACGTTTTTAGCAGAGCTACATACTTCAATGTTTTCCAATCTTCACTTTCTCTCTTCTTTTATTATGGACTTTTGCAGGTAGTATAATATTTTTGTCAGTAATACTATAATGGCGTAAAGTTAAACCTAGTTGAATTAAAAAACAATTAATATATCTCAAAACTAAAATAGTTCTGGGTACATCAATTTTTATAAATTCGCCATATCTGCGTATTTATCTACTTTTTTTGAATACAACGACTCTGTATTCATTGATGAGTCTGCTGTTTTTGCTACTGCTTGAGTGGAGTGTTCTGCGATCTCACGGACGGTTTGAGATGCACAATCTGCTATAAAATCAGTTTCATCTATTGACTTCTTGAACTCATTGCTGCAGCCAGCATTTTCTAAACGTTCAGAAACTTGGGATTCTCTTAACAGTTCTTCCATTTCTGGTGTCTGAAGAAGGAAAAAATTTTGATTGCCTTGAGAAAAGTATAAGGTAATGAAAACAATGAGGGCATAGGAAAGTCAAATACCATGCTGATTGTTTCTGAAGGACGCTTACGATAGAAGGAGCTACTTAACGTTTGCGTCGAATAGTTTTTCATAAATGAGATATCTTTTTCAACGTCCTCAGCTCTCCTCGGCTCGAAGGAGCTGGGACCAGACTGGCACTCGGCATCGTGAACATAATCCATTTCATCCATATAAAACTGCGTCTAATAATAAATTTTTGTTTAATAAGAAAAAGTATATTATCAGAGATGTTAACTGTGCTAAGAGAACAAAAGTGTTACTTCTGCACTTTTGGCGTCAAACAGTGAATAAGACGTCTGCGCAGCAGCATCCCATGAGAAACATTCCACTTCGTCATCGACAGAAGATGCATCTGCTGACGAGCCGCCAGTGGAATCGATGTGATCATCCGATTCAAAGTTGCTGAATTCACTTTCTTGAGTTTTTAAGAAATGAACCTAAAAATAGTGTTTGTAGTAACTGTCTGTTAGAATAGCGTGTCATATGAGGTCAAGCTCGTATTCGATTTAGTTTGATTTTTGCTCTTTGAAGATGAAGTATCTGTGAAGAACACGAGTGGTTAGTAAAAATACTACACTACTAAAAAGTTTGGTTAGTGTTTCCTGATTTTTCCTGGTCATCCAACAAGGATTAGTTTTGTAAAACCAAAACAACCTGTTTACAAATTTTTAAAATTCTCACTGTAGGAACTTAGTACTTCATCTGTACCAAACGGATACAGTTTGACACAAGTAATTCAGTGATGAACATACATTTACATAAACACTTTCAGGAGATCCAGAACTGGTATCCGTCTCTACGTTAGTGTAAAACTTCGAACTTAGTTTGATTATTTTGGAACTCTCAATATCTGCCGTGTCGACTTCAGCTAACTTTTCAATTTCGCCAAGACGTTTAGGCCTTTTGATGGAAATTTCTTCAGGACTTTCACCACCACCCCAAGAAGTCTGCTGCTTTTCAGCGCTAGACACTGGTTCTTCTTCCTCCTCTTCTTCCTCCAAAACTTCTCCACTGCTTCCAAGGCTGAGCGAATTTGATGGCGTTTGTGATCCTGCCATAGAAGTGTCAGGCCTCTTACTTTGTTCAACAGTTAGTGAAGCTGACTGTTTTGGTGATACTACAGATAGCTCTGCTGCTGTTTTTGAAAGCCTTGTTAGCAGCTTTCCCTTTTTCTTGTCCTAAAAAAGTTTTCTAAAATTTGCACTCAACTTCATTTGAATTAATGACATTTGCCAAAAATTTATAGCTTACCTTAGCAAGGCCTAACTCATCATCAATACTTGAACGATTCTTTGCATTAAACGCGCTGCAAAAATTAACGTCAATATTTTAGTGCTTAACTGATTGCTTTTCATGAAGGAAGAATGTAATTATTTATAGCTACTTGCAAGATTTTCGTTTGAGCGATGACTTTTTTAAGGGCGTTAAGCTTGTGTATTTTGGATATACAAGTATGTAGTAGAAACCCCTCATGAGAAATCAATTACTCTTCAGTCGTTATTACAGAGTAGTGTAAACAGTTGTTCTCTAAAGAAGGAAGCTTTTATAAAAAACTTCCCAAGTTACCTCAGATAAGTTTGCTGCTTTTTGGTTTTTAACTCAGCTTGAGCTTGTGTCTCAAAGTCGCAATATTCCGTTACAGTTTGCATTGTAGACGTGAGAGCCCGAACCTCTGTTTGTGGCCCACTGTGCACTGCGTTCTCATTTGTTTCTGTTGATTGGCTTGAGATCAAATAGTCATATTCTGTACTACAGGAATTTGCTTGCATTTCTGCAGTAGCCTCTACTTGAGAACTTAAGTAAAAGTTTACTGTTTGGCACTCAATGTTGGCCAACAGTGGTTTATAAATTTCCGTTTGCATCCCTTTTTCATCTGAAATTTCATCATGCCAAAATAATTGAGAAGCAACCGATGTAGGTAATTTAACGTCAGTTTGAGCAAATGTGTTTTCTTTCGTGACTGAAAACAGCTCATCATTAGTCTGTACGGCAGTCCTAGTGTCCGCAACAGAAAGTTGTGTGGCTTCATCTGAAGCGTATACATCACAGTTGACGCCAACAGTAGTCATTTCTACATTGCACTGTACTTCACTTTCAATGTGACGGATGTCATCTAACACTATTTTGCGCAAACTAGACGTTTGTACAGTGGCTGTTGAAGATTGCACTAAAGCTTCAACACCAGTAGCAACACCAACAGTATTAAATGCATCTGTTCCTCTCTCACAAACATTTAATTTTTTCTCTCTACTTCTGGACAGCAGTTCAATCGGAGCCTCTTTTACAGTTTCCAGCTTTTTATCACGTTCGTTTTCTGACTCATTTATTATCCCATCTAAAGACGTAGACTGCCAGCTGTCTTTGATACTTCTAATCACTTGTGCTTCACCCGTAGCATTTTCAAAGTTTACTGGGCTGGTTTGCGTATAACTTGTCACGGCAGACATAGCGGTTTCCTCACCTTTCTCGTAAAAAGAAGCAGCTTCGGGACCTACAGCAATGTCGGTCTGATCGATTTCTTTCTGTGACGAGACTGAAACAAAACACTTTTTACATTTTTCGCTCTCTTTGTGATAATGGTTAAACTCGTAAGTTGTATCCTCAAAATCTGTTGCAGTCCAAACGTCTTGAACCACTGCCAGAGAAGAATATTCTACGATTTCCGCTCCATTCGTTTCTATTGAAGCTTCAACGTAATAGACATCTGTGTTGGTGGTTTTGTCACTACCGGTTTCACGACCAATAACTTCAGTATACATTTTCTCTTCAAACCCCTCTGTCTCCACTGAAATCGAAAGGTCCGACATTTGCTTTTGTGCTGTTGTCCCCGCTGCACTAATCAACTCCGCACCTGAACCCGTTTCATCCACCGGCATCACCGCTTCCACCGCACTATCTGTCACTGAAATTTCGGTGCTCGTCTCCTTTTCTGACACTATCTTCTTCAGCAACAAGTCTTCCGTGATTAGTGATTGCTCGGTCATTTCTACAACTGCTTGAATATCAGCATCAGCCATAAAGAATTCAATTCCCACTCTTTCCTCTCCCAATTTTTTTGCACTTTCTGCAGCTTCTCTCCCCTCACTTAAAGAAACCACCGTCTGAACATCTCTTGCAACTAGCGCTAATTCGGTTATTGCTTCATCGTCTCCAACCGCTGTTTCCTTGCTTCCCACGGCTAACGTCTTTTTAGTGACCAATGTCTGTGTCTGTACGCCTGAATCAGTCACCAGAGTTTCGGTTTCGGTTCCCATTTCTGTAATCTCCAGCCTCTCAGTTTCTGTGGCCACTGCCTCCTCGGCCACTCCCATTACTGTTTGAACGTTAGCGTTGGCCAGCAAGGTCTCCATTACGGTTCCCATTTCTGTAACCGCCAGCTTCTCGGTTTCTGTGGCCACTGCCTCCTCGGCTACTCTCACTACTGTTTGAATGTTAGCGTTGGCCAGCAAACTTTCAGTTACAGTTCCTATTTCTGTAACTTCCAGCCTCTCAGTTTCCGTGGCCACTCCCTCTTCAGCCACTGCGGTCACTGTTTGAATGTCAGCGTTGGCCAGCAACGTCTCGGTTACAGTTCC